GTGTCTAAGGGTAAAAGTTGTATGAACTGACTTGCTGTGATGTGGATTTTCTAAAAATATTATATGAAGTATATAGCCTTCCTCGATAAATGGCAATCCAACAAAAAAATAATTTTTAAATTCGAACCATTAATTCTGGAGAGTAGGAAGGTGGTTTGTCGAAGTATATTGTTTGTCATTTAAAAAATAAATAGGTTTAATAGTTCCCAAAATTATTGCAGGATTAAATATGTGCCCTGCCAATTTCGGTGTCGTTTGATTATTTTTTTTAGGATAATTTCAAATTATAATAATTAGCATAATTTGAACATTTAATAGACGGTTATTTGAAATCTGTGATAGTTTTGCACAGTAATGTACCTTAATTGCATATACGTTGYGCCAGGTTATAATTTTAAGTTTATTTGTAATCACCTTATCTAAATTKAATTTGTTTATTGAATAACGAACCAATGACACCACAAATAATGAAAGAAAAATAAATTCTAAATATATACGACAGTTTTAAATGAATTTAAAGAGCAGTTAATTATAAATTAATAGTACAATATGTCAATATGCAATTTAATATATAGGTAAAAATAATTGTATTGCAGGTGTATTAAGTTATTCAAATATTTTAGATTATTACAAATACAGAAATGAATAAGTATTAATAATTATAATTATAACAAGTATTAAGTTCGAATACATAAAAATTGCATGTATATCTAAATATAAGTAAAAAAAGTTTAAAAAAATATTATTATTATGATTTATAAAATCATCTTAGCATAATATTTTTTTAATATTAATTCTGAACTCTTTGTATAGTATAATATTAAAACCATATTATTAATTGCATTGCAGTGGCAGTGCTATTTCGTCATGTAATAAMATTTATATGCATATGACTATAACATGTATAAGTATAATAGAATAGATTATAACGTAATATTAATATGATGTAATTCCACCAAATTCTGGAGCTTAGCATTACAAYTTGGGTGTAATAACATAATATTATATTGTTAACAAATATTCACTAATAAATATTATTCTGAGTMATTTCTAACCACTCTATTTTTAATTTATATCTCTATATTAATACACTTAAGATTTTATAATTTATACATTTGTTTACAGTTCTAAAATACAAGCAGTTTCATAATTCATGAATTATTCAGCGTATTTATTATACTCCATTTTATGAGATGAGCATATTTTGGTACAATTCATGAATTAAGCATTATTACGTGTCCATTTCATGAAATGGAAAATGTTACACTTGGCATGTAATATAGTGACTACACGATTCTATGAGARAAAATATTGTTTACGTTGATTAAAWAGCAAAAATTTAAAAATTTAAATCAAATTAAAAATAATATAGGCCTTCCAAGGTGCTAAATACGAACCTTCTTAACATATTTTTAATTAAATTAATTAAATAATGCAATATTTTATAAATTAAGATATGAWTACAAATATTTTATGAAATAACATAGCAGATCGATTGCCGTAAATAATATGGGTTTTCTATATAACTTACTAGTTAAAACTGTACCTACATTAATTTATCATTTAAAAGTTTATCCATCCTATTTAATATTATCTAATAATTTTACTGTACACTTTTATATTATCGATTTAACTATGAACTAATTATTATAATATTGTAATAAATTATTATAATAATGATTAATATTTGAGCCAAGTAAACAATTTATATTCACTAATGGAGTTATGTCTTAATAAACAATTAGCCATTAGGTAGTTATTAATACGTTATAAAATACTTACCGGCTTCGAGCCGCGAGTATTGCCTTCACTGCACACACCGGCTCTCGTGTTTCACCAACTAAAAATGTGACGTCACACACTTCTGGGATAGCTGCAAGAAACTTCAAATCATCTGCTAATCCACCTTTATATTCGAACAGTGTTTCGTCCATTGCTGTAGATGTTGTAGTAACCGGATATTGTGGCTCCATTCTTATAAAATTGTTATATCACCCTGAAAATAAGTTTAATATTATATAGATTATTTAGATACTCTATAAGTAACTATATTAATTTTAAATTATTAATTGAATGATCATTAGATTTCATAGAAAATTTACTTCGACTGTCTCGATCATAAAAATTCAAAATATGATATACTCGTATACCTCAACGTTAATGTCTAGGTTTAGGTTCTACGAAGTGAATTCACCATTATATTTTATTGGTTTTATATTCATTTGATTATGTTTTCTCATTTTTCAATTACGTTAACACAGAAAAACACTTAAKCCCATCATAATTATTATGTATATAGTATATTATTTAAAATAAGTTTTTTTTTTGAAGAATGCTCAAAAAGTTTCATATTTTATAGACTAGGAATTTAAGCTAGATATTACATAAAGAGGTCATTCTAAAAACTTTTAACACTTACAYAGAGTAACATTTGTGGCGCGCTCTACTTCTTATTAAAAAGTTAATTCTGTATAGTTGGTTAATATTACAAGTACAAAGTTAAGTAGATTGTTTTAACTTGAAAGTGTTAAAATTTTTAATAATTAGAGAAATCTACCAAATTTTTGCAAGTTATTCCTGAAGTTTTTTTCTAAACTCATTTTATCTCTAAATTTGTATATAAGTTATAGACTAAATAATTAYTCATTTTAACTCGATTTATCTTTCTGAATATAAAAATAAAAATATATATGATGTCATTCACAAAAGCAAAAACAAAATGAAAAATAATGACATTAGAAAAATTGTATTATTTTATACCTATTGTTTAATAATAACTTCAAACAATGTAAAATTATATATACTAAAAATATTAACACTTACTGAGATTATTTTATGTAATAAATAAATTACTTAAAATTAATGTAATATTATATGTATTGAATTTAGGATATTTATCTACCAAAAAATATCACTCCTTTTCAAGAAATAGACCAAAATTAAATCCAATATTTATAACTATTTAATTCTGAAGAAAAACCACGAGTTACCCATTTATTAACTTGGATTGAGAGCCAAAATCTGATATTTAAAAAAGTCAACCTTTTAATAGAGCAATTTAAGATTTCTATAAAACCATAAAATACATAATTAAAAATTAAAAATCACCTTTTTTACTATAAATGATATTTTTTATATATTTTGTAGATTATGTACATAAAATATAAATTACATATTAATATTATTAAAAAAAAATTAATTTCAAACATTTTATTAAGTTACATGCAATAATTACTAATTAGACACAAATTTTTATTTTCTTTTTATGAATGATTTTCGTCACCTTTTTTTATTAATATGTATCTAAGTAAGTATTTATTGATGAAACAATGCCAACTTAAACACAAATAATTATGTCAAATTGGCAAATGTGAATAAAAAGGAGGAGGAATGTTTAAAAGAATGTTCTGTATTTAATATTTATCGATAAGCTCTCTGAAAAGATTATTAAACGTTGTATTAAACAATTTAACGGATTAAACTCGAAGGTTTACAGTGTTGTGTTTTGAATATTCATTAAAATGAAGATTATGTATAGACGACGAGAAACGTTTATAATTATATAAAGGATTCGAATTTTGATAAATGRAGCAAAATAATGTCACACGTKTATTAATTATACACATGTTAATTAAAAAAACCAATCAAATCTTCGATCAATACAATTTATAAAACAGTAGAACACTAAAATAATTTTAATATAAACGACGCGTAACATAATACATATTTATAAGAAGGTGTAACAGATAGAACTGAMTTTTGGTATTTGGAATAACGTTTGTTCAAATTAATATATTTTTTTTCATTAAGTGACCCTAGCGCTATTACATGTATAATATGATTTTTGAAATTTTGCTGACGAGTATATTTCTTAAATTATTTATTTATCATTAACAATTTTTTTCATRCGTTTAATTAGCGTATTATTATTTTTTTTTTTGTCAGGTCTTTTTGTTACATCCTGTACAATATGTATAAGATATTTATATACTTATAAAATAAAATATGACATAATTATTATTATTATATGTAATTGTATAGTATAGTATAACGACGGTTAGGATATAAATTTGAAACTCACTAAATATTTTGTTATCGTGTCGTAGGAGTCAAACGTTGCGTCTGCCACGGCTGATGTGTGTGTACTGCACGTGCGTGCGAATGTTTACCGTTAAAGTTTTCCCTCGACACATGACGTATAATTATGTGTGTCCATGTGTGGCGGTGGCTGCGGTAGCGCGACGAGCGTTTACGGGGCGCGTCAGACCGATTAAACGTCGTGTTCGCGCTTTTGCAAATGATGGTATGCTATTAATATAACAGTACGAATAAATAATAATGGTAATAGCAATCGTAGTAAAAGAGCACACACGCGCAAGACCGTAAACCCGTGGTACCCGCCGAGAGTATAGTGCCGACGCAAAGACGGCGACGTTGGTAGTAATTCTGACGTTGGGTAGGATTGTTTGATGAGCGGTGGCGTACAGGGACCGCGCAAAAGAGAAAGCGACGGCGTGTGGTTGTGTGAGTGGTGGAGGTGGTGATGGGTGATAGTGGTGGTGGCGATGGGTGATGTGGCGTTGTGGGTGGTGGAGGATGTGCGAGAACGGCTGTTGGTGAACGGCGCAAACGTCGGAAACGATGGAATGAAGGAGTTGAGAAGGGCAGAGGCGACGGGTATGAGAGGGCGCTAACGGCTGAGGCGGAAGGCGAACGCTTGTTATAAGCGTTTATACGGAGTGATCCATTTAATAGAAGTCACTCTTTATTTCAAAAAATACTAATTTTCACATAATTTCTGTTACATATTTTTAAGTCTTTGCATGACAACATTTTCGGAAAAAAACGTTATTTTTCATTTTTTTTTTTTTTATYGTAATCAATTTCCAAGTTTTTTGCTTAATTTAAATTTTGTGGGGTAGCGGCGTTGTAGAATTCCACTTTCCTCGTATAAACTTTAAATACTTATAAGTTGTAATAAGTTGCAACTCATCATAAATTATAYGTCCAAAATTAGAGATTTAAATATCTGAGTATTTAGAAATATTATTATCTGCTTTGAAATAAGTAATTAAAAATGTATTTATTGTAGTTAATAACGTTACGATTTAAAAAATTATAATGATAAGAAAAATTAGTAAAAGATAATTTTCAAAAACGTTCATATAGATATTGAAATAATGAGTGTCTTGCGTTAAATGCATCACCCGGTATATTTATATATATGTATGTGTGTGTGTGTGTATAAAGTCGTAAGTGTAGGAAAACGAGCTCGTGGCACGAAAATCTGCAAGCTGCAAGCTGCAAGCTCGTGGTCTGCCTATCGGCTATCAGCCCGCGCAAGTTCTCCACGACCAATCGATATATATATATATATATATATATAGATATATAAACATTATACGTCGGTGTGTGTCAGTGTCAGTGAACAAAATTGTGTTTGGTATATTATATAGGTATACATTACTTGCAAAGTCCATATTATTAATAATAAATGCGTCCGGTCGTTTTGATAGTCTCGATAATACCTC